TACTGATACTTTTGTCTGATATTTATTAAAATGCCACCTATCAATTTTTGAATAGCTTTCAATAGTTTATAGAAGAAGTTCTTTATAGATGTCATCTGTTTCATTGTCCATTTCTACAACTTTTCGTCAAAACCTAGACTCAAATTATGCCAACGAGAACCGTATTTCCCAAGGGGGAAATAACTGACTTTTATGACTTTTATGACTTTAGAGTCATTTAGATCACTTAGATCATTTAGATCATTTAGATCCTTTAGATCGCGAAAGTCATTCAAAGTCATCAATAACTCAGAATATTTGAAAGAGGATGTTAGTCAATATTCATCTAGAATCTGTTCACATGTTAACATATCAATATACGCTTCGAGGATGGTACAAAAACAATGATTTTACCAAAATACGCATAGAATATAACTATCGCCCATTTCAAAAAAAAGGACGGGTGGGTATTTTTCGAATAACTTTTGATAGGAGCAAGATAGTGAGTTGCAGTTTTCACCATTAGAAAGAGAAGATCCAGGCGCACCAATAAATGCTAAAATCTGAGTGGTCAGCAATGGACCAATCGGATGCATTTTTGAGGGACATGTTGAGCACGATACTTCGGACCCATTTCGCAACTTGGATCAATTGTTAATTTACACTTCTGGTAGAAAAATTGTTCTCTTTCGATCTACGCATGATCCACCTTTCTAGCTTGTTCGGTTCAAGAGATAGAAGGGTTTTCCTGAAACGCCTGATTTCAGCCAATTAACCATGAATCATCCAGAAAACATTCTGGAATAGGGTAATTCACAAAGGGGAAACAACTGACTTTATGGCTTAAATAATTTAAATGACTTTATATGACTTAATGACTTTGCATGACTTAATGATTTTAAATGACTTTTTTTGACTTAAATGATCTGAAAGATCGAAAATTATTATTGTTTTTTATCATGTATCTTGCTTTACATCCCATTATTACTTGAGATTTTTACATGTTACATTGAGAAATAGCGAAAGCAGTCGTGAAGCCAAGATTCTTAGCATCTCATGCAAGGGGAAAGCAACTAAATTTAGGACTTCAATGATTTTTATGATTTTATGACTTAAGACCCCCTCCATCAAAAATAGATCTCAGCCCAGGAATATCCAAATTGCATGAAACGTTCAGGATATGTTGGGACTGGTGAACCATGGCTATAGTAAAATTTTCAGCCCTATATCATGACGTTTGACAGAGATATTCATCAAACAAGGGTCAAAAATAGCTCTATCGTAGCGCTAGTAGAACTCTATCATAGTAAAAGGTAAAGTTAAATATTTTTTTGTTTGAAAGAGCATGTCAGAATGCAGCCCCTTTCGTGGCCCTTTTTTTTTTAAATTCTTACTTTTTAAGCGAAAAAAAGGGATGACAAGTTCAATCACTCAAAAAAACCCTAAAAAAATGGCGTTGTTTTTCTAGAGGTGTTTTCTTATATGAAAATAAAAAGGCTTTTTCAAAAAAAGGACTACGAGGAGGGCTAGCCCTAGACACAAGCTTTCGAACAAAAAAAAAATTTGATTTCATCTTTTACTATGATGGAGTTCTGCTGGCGCTACGTTGTCGAACCGACGTTTTGAGAAAAACGAAAAATGATTTTCGGTTTTTTGTAAAAACGGCTTGTTTTTGGAATAGGAGGTGACGAAAATCTTTCAAATTTTTTGGACAAAAACAGGTGCCGAATAAAAATTTTTGTCGCATATGAAAGAGCAGACGACGGGCTATTTTTCCGTGAATTTATCTCAATTTCTATGATTCTGGCGAAAAGTGACTTTTTTGAGGTTTGGGAGGAGGGGTTAAATGATCTGAAAGGTTGAGAATCGCCATAGTCTATCTACTTATATTTCGAGAATTCGATTTCCACTATTTTCCTAACTTATAATATGCTAGAAGATATCCAAGAGAACACTCATCCCCGTTTTATGTTGGCTCATCGTTTTCAGCTTAATTGTTTAGCTGAACGACGCATAGACCAACTAGTCTACCGTTTGATTTGTTTCATAATATGTCTATCTTATCGCCGCCTCTCGCAATATGTCGTTCTTGATTAGAAAATAACGTGATCTTCAACAATCACATTTGATCTCAGGCTCTGCATCCACATGATATTTATGTGAACAATAATGAAAATACAATTTACAATTAAACAAACATTCAACTTTCTATCAAAAAGTAGATGAATAAATATTATTAGAGAATCTGGTGATTATAAACACATGGGAAAACTAGAAATGAGAAAAGCGACGACTATTTTCAAACTGAAAATATTGAGAAACGAGACTAACAGAGAAACATATTCAACTGTAAGATGCTATTCGACTTCATGTTCTGGTTATGAGGGGGACTCAGCGGAACGAAGAAAACCCTAGTCTAACTCGCGACCAGTAGCGAGTTTAGACAGGAGGACAACGAAGTAATCGTTCCTTCTGTTAGAATTTTTACCGTCAACAACAAACGAAAGACTAGTTTGTACTAGATCGAATAGGCCTTCAAATTCATTTTTACTCATCGCCTTCACCTCTCCCATAAACCTAAATTCATCATTTTTTGTGACCATATTGTGTGGGTCAACTGCTAGAAATCCTTTGATAAATTTCGTGCGTATCGGTAGATATATTCATCGGGAATGTTGGGTTGTGAATTTTACGTCTGCAATTTTGTTCTTACACAAGTCTGGTAGTTCATATAGCTCCCTGAAAGTATGAACTGCAACTTTTATGTTTTTTTGTTGTGATGTCGGATCTTCAAAACCTAATTATTTGACAGCGACCTCGCACGCAAACCGAGTTTACATGAATACTCACTATCTTGATAAAGCAATATTGTTGTTAGCTAAAACTTTTAGAGTATTATCAAGTCTATGAAACGTATCTTAGATAAGAATTTCCGACCTCAATTTTTGAAATTCAATATTTCAACGAATACGCCAGAATCCCAGTAAAATAATCATAGCTCTTGATGTATAGATTACGGTCGCGAATCTTATTAGGACTTTCTTAGGCTCAATGAGTTCCCCTCTAGCTAAAATATAAGACCTAACAGCGTCCAGTATTTGGATTTGATTCCTTACATGTCAATTATATTCATGCCATTCAGTTTCTGTAGAATATACGAGTTTTTCACAGAGTTTCTTTGAATATACACAATTCTGAGAGGATGACAAGCATTTAGAGTGAATGAATGAATTAGAATCAGAAAAACAATAATGTCTGATTATTTTTCATACTAGTCGATTGTCATGATAACGATTTTTTAAGTTTCAAAAATATCATGCGTATTATAATGGACCAGATTGCGTTGCAATTTCGATTTCAAGCATTGAGGATCTTCGTGTTTATGAATGTCGATAACAGCTAGACCATGGAAAATTATTTTCCTGTTTCATTAACCTAACGGAAACTCGCCAGCCACAGCGAACATGAGCAGAATCCAAGAGGGAAGCAGTTGACTTTTATGACTTTAAAGTCATTTAGATCACGTAGATCATTTAGATCATTTAGATCATCTAAGTCATAAAGTCAGTTATTTCCCCCTTGGTATTTCCCATGAGATTTCCAGATTTCAGAACACTTCTCTTAAAGTATAAATTCACAGTAAGGACGAAAAACTCGAGCGATTATATAGGGAATACAACACTGTTCGGGCTACATTTTGGCGTAATTTGAGTCTAGGTTGCTATGAAAAGTTGTAGAAATGGACAACAAAACAAGAAAATATCCATGAAGAACTTCTTCGAACCTAATGAATGTTACGCAGATAGATAGACGTCTTGATAACTGCTCTATCTAATGGCGAAAACTCGACTTCGATAGCCATAAAAGATTGAAAGTTATTCAAAAAATAGTGGTTGGAGTTTTAATAAAAATCCAACAATAGTTCTTTAATCTAGGATAGTCTGGGCTACAAAATAATATATAAAAATAAATTATATCAGCTTCATAAGCTCAGCCATATCATTTTAGAAATAACTGACTCGAGTCATTGTTTTTATGGAGCATGGTTGAACCTAGATTAAATGTCACTAAAAGTAGATCAAAACATCCTAGCTGTGAAAATTTTTAGAGAACTCTTTAAATGAGTCGCTCAGCCCTGACTACTAGAGTTATTATGTAAATAATAACTTTTGGCAATAGGATTTTCGGAGAATTTTATGAAAAATCAAGTTGTTCAACACTATAATGCAATATTACATTTAAGTTACTCTTCTCTTTGTCCAATTTCTTTCACTGCAGATGTATAGTTTCAATTTATTGACCACGGGCTCAGTATAGATGGTGCACACCGCTTCCAAAAAAGGCATATTTGATAGAATTGGTCTTTCAATGTTGCAGTATCCATGGAATTTACACCAACACTGCACATCTCGATCTTTTATCATTTTTACTTAACAGACAAAGGTCAATTTGATATACGACATTGATATATCCGAATGATATTCGATCGTTTTAATAATCGTAAATAAATAATAAAACTAACTTGGTCGATAATTTCTTTGTTGATTATATTCAATGAAACTCAGTATGAGATACTCAATAGATTTCATTCAAATGAATTGAACTAATCATTATTAATTTGAGTTGTGAATTGAATTTTTCAAGTCAGTTGTAAAGTGTAAAATCAGTCAGGTTCTATTACAAAAACTTTCGAATGTTCCAAAAAAAAAATCATAAGAATTTAATTTGATCCAAGTTTTTTGTTTTTGTTTATTTTAGAATCGTAAAATAGCCTCGGATATTGTTGAACTCTGTTTAAAATATGGTCTTATTCAACGAAATAAAGATCATACAATCAAAGAAGAAGATGAAACTACTGTTACGAATTAAGAAATAAAACAAAATTTACAATTTCGTCTTTTTTTTGTTTTTATCTAAGATAGTGTTACTACATAATTCTTCTTTTTTTTCATATATATAATATGTCTTATGATAGATCATCAATAGAATACATTCCTATGTCTTCTTCAGAATAATATAAAATGTCAAATACTCATCCAAAATCTGAATCGATTGTACCATCGACATCTACTTTTGATCCAATTCATTTAGAATCTGAAATTCTTCAATTATGTCGTCAATTTCCTAATGGTGTTAGTGATAAAAGGCTTGAAAATTCATTTCGTAGTGTCACATTAGAACAACATGTTAATGCTATAAATCATCTATTCTATTATCATTAAATAAAATTGATTTATTAAAATCTTCAACAGAACCAAGTACGTATATTTATCGTATACGAGATCCAATGAATAAATCAAATTCATCAATATCAATTGGTAATGGAATAGCAGATCCAATGGAAAGAACAGTTTATCAAATTGTTGAAGAAAGTGGAAATTTAGGTATTTGGATGCGTGATATTAGATTAAAAATAAAATTATCTCCAACAATACTTAATAAAACACTTAAATCATTAGAAAGTACATGGTGATCCAAAAGTTCCCGGAACTTCGATATATCTACCTAGGGAAAGGACATTCCATCCATCTTTCTACGCCATATATTCGAGGTAGTCATTGTGATATTACATGGGAAATTTCATCGCTTTAACTCACTCTATCGATATTGTTTCGAAGTAAACAATATGTATTGAATTGACCTCATTGATTATTACCCTTGCTAAATTGTTGTAGCTGCTGATTATTAGTCTATCTTGAATATATCTCAACGACTAAGAGCCTGAAAGCCTAGTCTAAGGTGAATACGGTGGGCGATCCCTAACTTCATTCCTCTCACTTTTAAGTAAATAATGGCATTATTTTACATGTTGCTCAAAAAACTTATGATGAAAACTGGTCGGATTAGACCCATGATGATACGTTTTTGTTCGATAACTCTTTTATTTGTCAATTCAAACATTTATCACTAATATAGATAGAATTACTAACTCCTATAGAAACCACTAGATGCCAAATAATGGTTCGAATGTCATTAAATGGTTGACATATATTATTGTTTTTTGATATCCTTAACAATAAATGTCACTTGGAGGACTAGTTTCTCTTGTTGACCTAAGTTTCGATAATGATTTTCATCCAATATTACGATGTCACATCTATGTCTGATAACCGCTAATGGTATCACATAAAATCTTTTCACCACTTAGAAACTTCTTCAAATTTTTGAGGGCTCAAAAACCTATCGAAATTCAAGTAATAATCAAGAAGGTCAATTCAATACCTATTTGTAACGACAAACTGGATTGAATAGCTTTTCGCCATTCTCGGCAATGATGTTTATTCAGCTATTTTACATATCCAGAGTGTGTCTATTGCACATTCAACACACACTTATATATGATACGGAAACAATGGGAGAGAGACGACACAGAGAGAACAATAGAGAGAGAAAGAGGAAAGAGGAAAGAAGAAGAGCAGCGAGCCGTGACGCATATATCGGCACACCCTCCCACTCAGATGAGACGCGCTCCTGAGCGTCTTTACAATTTAGAAAAGAAAAACAGAAACGATAAAAAATAATTAGATGAAAGAAAGAATACATCAAAACAAGTTCATTGATTTAACTTCATTGTAGACAATACAGTCATACACGAACGACAATATCGACTTTCATACATAACTTCATATCAACACACGTCTTCACAGTATCATAGCATCGAGTCACGAACAGAGCAGTCAAGAAAAAGAGGAACAAGCTTTTTAAAGGAGTGATCATCACATTTCAAACTCATAAATTCGGCAACACCTTTCAAATATAAATAGAAGATCAGTCAACACGAACACGGCATACAAATAATGATCGTCACAGCTTCAATCATCACACAAAAAAAAATTTTGAGAGAGCACACAGAAATGAAACAATATAGAAATATAGAATTCATAACACGCATATGATCAGTCACACTTTTTCGCACATTTTCACATTCGTAGAACGCAATGTCGAACAACAACACATATCAATTTTTGAGAACGAGAAAAAAACACAAGTCATCGGTTACACAAGCTTAGTATAATTTTAACCATAAGTAGACATAAATATTCTAATTCATACAGGATAGAAACTCTTGTCTAGTGCATAAACGATACCTAAAACGGTTTCTTGTTTTGTCTTACTTACTAGATTATTACAAAAACGAACACATAGCTTATAGAAAAATATCGCATCATATTTCGATTATCTACATGATCGAACATAAAAGATTATCATTTAACCCATCTTCTATTTATGTTTCGCCGGAGAAGAAGAGAGAAAAAAAAATTCACACTTTCTAATCAGTATCATCACTATAATTACTTTCGTTTTAAATTCTTCACTGGCTTCAGGCCTTTTAAGGGTAACATCTTCATTTAATTTTATGTTTCTTCTAATATTTGATTGTTACGCATCGTTAGTTAGCAAGATGTTCAGCTGAATAACTGTTGGTGGTGATTGACAACACGACGTGAATATTGATGATGAATGAATATCAATTGTTTACAGCTGATACACAATCAATTTCATGTTCATCGATATCCATTTGTTCTGTTGCTGCTTCTTTTTTTTTATTTTGTTTTGGCAGAGAAAATAAATTTGAATTACGTGA